TCGTATACGTAATGTGCTTATGCAATTGTTTTCCCCTTGCAGGCATCCGTTTCTCGTTGGATGTGTCACGCGATGAGGTCAAAGCCCTGTCTGCCCTGATGACCTTCAAGTGCGCCTGCGTGGATGTGCCATTCGGCGGTGCCAAGGCTGGCCTGAAGATCAACCCCAAGGAGTACTCCGAGCACGAGCTGGAGAAGATCACCCGTCGCTTCACCCTTGAGTTGGCCAAGAAGGGCTTCATTGGACCCGGCGTCGATGTGCCCGCCCCCGACATGGGAACCGGCGAGCGCGAGATGTCCTGGATTGCCGATACTTATGCCAAGACCATCGGTCACCTGGACATCAATGCCCATGCCTGTGTCACCGGCAAGCCCATCAACCAGGGCGGCATCCACGGACGCGTCTCGGCCACCGGTCGCGGTGTCTTCCACGGCCTGGAGAACTTCATCAACGAGGCCAACTACATGAGCCAGATCGGTAAGTGTCGATTCATCGCTGTTAAATTATGAAAGAGCATCATCCTAATGGTCGTATCTCAATCCTTAGGCACCACTCCCGGCTGGGGCGGCAAGACCTTCATCGTCCAGGGCTTCGGAAACGTGGGCCTGCACACCACCCGCTATCTGACCCGCGCCGGTGCCACCTGCATCGGAGTCATTGAGCACGACGGCACTCTGTTCAACCCGGAGGGCATTGACCCCAAGCTGCTGGAGGACTACAAGAACGAGCACGGCACCATTGTGGGCTACCAGAACGCCAAGCCCTACGAGGGCGAGAACCTCATGTTCGAGAAGTGCGACATCTTCATTCCGGCTGCCGTCGAGAAGGTCATCACCAGCGAGAATGCCAACCGTATCCAAGCTAAGGTAATCTTCGAATTGATTATACCAAGAGAATCCTGTAAAAATGGTATATTTTCGTTTCGATATAGTTAATATTTAATTTTAATAAATTTTAGATCATTGCCGAGGCTGCCAACGGCCCCACCACCCCCGCTGCCGACAAGATCCTCATCGATCGCAACATCCTGGTCATCCCCGATCTGTACATCAACGCCGGCGGTGTCACCGTCTCCTTCTTCGAGTGGCTGAAGAACCTGAACCACGTCTCGTACGGTCGCCTGACCTTCAAGTATGAGCGCGAGTCCAACTACCATCTGCTCGGTAAGTTATATTATATCACTATTATTATCCAGAATAATAGGCTCTCGAAGGCACTTTCTACTCATCTCTCTATCTACCGAACTATCTATCGAAATAAGTTTATTTTGGCCCATTGATCATGGATAAGTTATGCTATTTATTTTAGTAAACAAAACCTTTCAGAATAGCGCTTGCTCTTTCGGCATTTGCTCTTCCCATATTGGTTTAGTACATCCGAATTTCGTTTCTCTTTAATTTACTTTCGATCCTATCCACCTACACTCAAAAATCAAACCATAACCAAGAGACTCTAAGATCGTAATTTAATTTTGAAGTATCATCTAAGTAATTCGTTGTTTATTCTTCTTCTTTTTCCGTTTCTCTATCAACAATGTAGCCTCAGTCCAACAGTCAATTGAAAGAATCATTAATGACGGTACATTCTGATTATTAATTCTTTTCGTTACCACCTATCCATCCTAAAGCCCAAGAAACTATTTCTACCTCATGTTTACCTCTTTTTGTAGTTAGTTTTGTTCTGTAACCATTATTCTGTGCATTTATTACTTGTTATTTCTGCTTTATCCAAACAAAAATTCTATATCATAATCATACTAATACTAGGAACCATCCAATCCTATGCTTTAATTCGGAATCTAATTTGGTGGCTTAAAACCTTGTCATATATGTCAATGTCGTCTTTTGAGCATGTGGCACTCTTAACTAATTGCTTTGTCCTTTTTCGTTTCCCCCATCGCTGTCTTCCTGCAGAATCCGTGCAAGAGTCCCTGGAGCGTCGTTTCGGCCGTGTGGGCGGTCGCATCCCCGTGACCCCATCCGAGTCGTTCCAGAAGCGCATCTCCGGCGCCTCCGAGAAGGACATCGTGCACTCCGGCCTGGACTACACCATGGAGCGCTCCGCCCGCGCCATCATGAAGACGGCCATGAAGTACAACCTGGGCCTGGACCTCAGAACCGCTGCCTATGTCAACTCCATTGAGAAGATCTTCACCACATACCGCGATGCCGGCCTGGCCTTCTAAGCCCGCTGAGTGTGCTGATTAGCCCCCAGACTCTTAACTAGTTAATTAAGCAATCGAACTCAAGAGCATAACTATTGCTATTGCTCCATGCACCGCCGTCTTAGATGAAAAGTCACAAAACCGAAATGCAAGAATCGTAATTTATATCTATGGCAATTGGAGCTGGCCGGAATAACTCTTTTAAAAAACAAACAAAAACAAAAGCCAACTTTCGCCCGTGTTTCGTATTAAGTTGAACAAGTTGCGAGCTTATTATTGTTGATTTTCTGTAATTTTTAAGTTAATGAGCGTCAAAGTGAAGCAATTGCATTTTCAATTATGTATCGCAACGTCTCGTACCGTCAAGTCACGTTTATCGTACGATCGCTCCGTTGCCGTAACATTAAAATAATCAAATATACACAAAACTAAACTCTAAACTCAACTCATTTTAATTGTCGATTGGAGTTGGTCACTTAGCTAATCACAATGGAATACAATTGTTAGTCTCAATAATAATCTACTTGTACGTAGTAACGTATATATCGCTGGATCGACTGGAATGTATAAAAAATATATGGTTCTATAATACTATAAGTACACTTTTGTGATTAAAAAACGCAGATACAGCGCAGCGTACGTGTGAGAATATCCGTGTCCGTATACAAATTGGAAGAGGTTTGATAATCGTTTAAAAAACTAGTGGACTACGAGCTACAGGGAAAGTATATCTCCGGGTCCGAGTGCATGTCAACGTTGTGCAATCTCCTGATAGCAGTAGTGAATCAAAGAACCAACGATTTCGGAAACAATTGCTGCTTCACATAGTCGTTGATCATCTCCATGAGCAGCTCGCGAGTGACTTTCGGATGCTGCAGCACATAGCCAAAGTCTTTCAGTTTCGTGTTATCCAAGTAGAGGTGCTTGTGCTGGAGCTGCTCCTCATCGAGGTAGGGTGTCAGCGGTGTGTTGTCGATGCCATTGCGCTGGCAAATCTCGGCCCAGGGTGCCATGTGCTTGTCGTTGATTTCACTGACGGTGTCCGTGGGATAAAGCTGGAAAATTCAAGTCAATGATTAACAATAAGCTGAAGCTTAGTGCGGCGATTAAAAGCTAACTTACTTTTGCCAAATTCGACATTACAAGGCCAAAGAAGTCCAAATTGATGTCGAAAATATCCACCAAAAGATTACTAATCGTGCCCTGCGTCGATGCTGAATCATCGCAGATGTTGTAGATCTGCCCGGCGGTCTTGGGACTCTGTGCCAATTGCCAAACGGCAGCGCACACGTCCGATACGTGCACCGTATTCAAACGCATGGCATCGTTCCACAGCAGCTTCATTGTCTCGTTGAGGTATTTGTAAATGGCAGCGATTATAATGCGCGGCACTGTGAACAGAAGGCAATGGGCGGTGGGGTCGGGTTTAACCCATGTGGTTTGTCAATTACATCAATTATCGGGTATCAGCGAAGAGGGACACTCACTCAAATAGCGCTTATCGCCAATGCCATAGACCACGGGCAAACGGACGACCGTATAACTGAGATCGTCAATGTTGGACAGTTCCTTCTCCACCTTCAGCTTCTGCTTGGCCACGCCCGTCCACGGATCCGACTTGCAATCCTCTTTTAGCGGCGTCTTCTCGCTGCTGTTCACACATCCGGAGCTGAGTTCCACGTAGCGTTTGACCCGCTGGTTAGCCGCCTCATTGGCGCAATTCAAGCTTAGCTTGAGGATACCCTCCTTGTAGACAGCATCATCCTGGTTGGCACGCGTCTCGGCCGCACAATTGATGACGATGTCCCAGGACCGGCCGGTGGTGGGGTGTGGCGCAAAAGCCGCCTTGCAAGAGGCTGTGGAAAAACAAAGGGGAGCGTCCTATAACCAGTTTAGGTGCAACTGCATTAGGGTGGCTCGATTTGGTAGCAAGATTGTACTTGGAAATTCCACATCCGATAGCCTTTTCCTGTTTCTATACGGTATAGACGGTTATAGAAGGTTATATCCGAAGACGTTGTGATCCGCATCCTGGTAGAACGAGCCACCCTAATGTAGCGTGATTACCTACCGGCGTTTATTAGGTTGGCGCTGCAGAACTCCACCCGATCGCTCTCGAAGACCCGCGTCTGCTCCTCGTTCAGCCAAGCCATCTGCGGAGGGGTCTTATCGGCCAGTCGTATTTCCTGCGCCAGTTCATTGTCCAGCAGATAAGTGGCCAAGTTGCGTCCAATGAAGCCGCAGCCTGCGGGAAGAGGAAGAGCAGCGATGCTGATAAGCGGAAGTGCGGAGCGGGGGTATGAGGAAAGACGAGGATGCCGTGCGGCCCCTTACCACCCAAAATCAGAACAGACGGCTTCTCAGACATGCTGCAGGCGCGAGACGGACAACCGGAATGCGAATGAGTCAAGTTGAAAGATATATATTTGTTAGCGGTTGGAATGGCTTTGTTGTTTTGTTTGGCTGTATTTCTGGTGTGACCGCCCCGTGCCATTGTCGATACAACAAGTCCCTTCGATACTCCGCATGCTGGTCACACTATGGCGCCAGACTCAAACCTCGTTTAATGTCCTTCAATTAGCGTCGGTCGCTTGGCCTATTTATACAGACCAGAATCAAGTACCACTTTACGTGCTACTCCTTAGGGTTAAAGTGCCAACAAATTACCCTTGCTACTCTACCCTTTAACCGCTGTCATCAGGGAGAGTAATTTTGCAACATTGCGTTTCTTTCGAAATTTGTAGGTTATAAGGTACCAAATAGAGTTGCCAAGCTCACCCTGCTAAACTATCGGCACATAATCCTTTGGGATCAATGACCTGGTCACGCTGTCAAAAGTCACATTATAATCGTCCATTTTGGACAAAATCGTCGAACAGACCGGAACTCAAACTTTTCCTCCCAAAACGGTAAGACTTTTTAAATATATGTACGTATCTGAACCATACCAGCCTTAAAAAGTGCTTTAAAGAACTTAGCGAGCAACATGCCAGGAGTTACAGTGAAGGATATCGATCAGCACGTTCTGACCAAAACTATGGCAGATTTTCTTAAAAAATCCGGAAAACTTGCTGTGCCGGAAATGGCTGTCTACGTAAAGACGGGCAAGTTCAAGGAGACTGCTCCGACCGACGACGATTGGTTCTTTATTCGATGTGCCTCCATCATGAGACACCTTTACCTGCGCAGTCCTTCCGGGGTTGCCGCCTTCACCAAGATCTACGGCGGACGCATGCGCAACGGAGTCCATCCGTCCAAGTACTGTCGCTCATCGGATGGCTGCATTCGCAAGGTGAATGGGAAATGGGTTAGGTTAAATTTAATATTACATATGTAGTATATGTATCTGAACAGGCTCTTCAAGCTTTGGAAGCTGCTCACATGGTGGAGAGGCATCCGGATGGTGGTCGTAAGCTGACTTCCCTAGGACAACGTGACTTGGACCGCATAGCCAACAAAATTGTGGCCAAACAGCAAGAAGCCATTCCATCAGTTCCTATTATTATCACTACCTAAGATTCGAATACTCAACATGAAACCACGAAAGAGCAACTTTAAGTGCCTTGGACTTTGTCGATGACATATTTTCAATACATTCTCAATAAAGCGACACGCTAACACTAATGCTAAAATAACAATACTTAAATTAATGTTTTGACACTTTATTTTTGGCACAAACAAGCCGAATATTAAGAATTCAATTTTAAAATGTTAACTAGTCCACAAATCTCCCGATTTCTGGTTGCCAGGAGCTCTGAAACCACGAACTATTACCTCGGCCTGCCACCAACCGCTGGTTTCACTTGCTGCCTTCAAAAGGTCTTGCTCTTCATTAGTCTTGCTAACGTCTGCCCCAGATTTATCTAGATTCAGCAGGCCAAGATCCTGGTAAATGTCCATCTCCTTGCAGCAGCGTAATTCATTCTGTGTGTTCTCGCTGCAATGCAGAAGATGCAGATGTATGTTCTTGCAGCTGCGCGGCAGTTTGCTGGATACATGCTTGGGGATTAGATTGCCGAAGTCACAAGGAACGATGTCCGTAAGGAGTTCTATTTCCAGAAACACATTGGTGGTATTCAGTTCGGTGGAGAAGAGCGTGTACAGCTCCTCGCAGGTGAGCAGGCGGAGCAGCGCTTGGTTAATGCGACCTTCGGGCAGGGCATGGTGGTCGCAATAGTGATCTCTGGATATGGAATCATGTGGTATGTGCAGGGTGTAGGCCTCCGAGGGCATGAACGTATTGTTGCCAAACAGAAATCGGAGGCTCTTCACTTTAGAGCTCCCAAAGGCTTGTCGGATGATCTGCAGGCGAGAACAGGTTAATAAAGACCAAATAAAGTCCTGGATGTAAGAGGAAACGCACCTCTCTCATGTCACTAATGGATTTCTTGGTTGCCTTTGCCTTGGAGCGCTGCTGGTTGCGTTGATAGTGGGCAAATGACTCCTGAGCCTCGGATTCACCCGATTTATCTGCATCTGACCATTTATCCACATAATATTTGTATGTTTTGTACACGAAGGGGATTTGCCGGCGTTGGTAGAGCAAGAAGTCCAGGATGCCATTTACGAACTCCGCTGTTGCTCCACTGGTCAGAACCTCAATATTATCCAATCTGATCTCCACATTCTTGATATTTTGATCCATTAAAGAGCCGAAATAAAACAAATTTAAACAAATGCTCTTTTCGAACTAATTGCAAGCGTTGCCAGACAGTAACATTCAGATTGTTTACAGTAATCGATAAGTATATGAAAACAGTGACTTTTAAAAATAGTTTTTCAGAGCATAAATAAATTTTTATTTTGGTTGTAAGCTATTGCGTTTATAAAAATCTGACTGTTTAAGCATTTCCTGCCTTTTTCACTTTTCACGTTTTTAAAAATATTTTTTTCACCTCTAGAGTTGCCAGACGTTCATGGTTCGAGAGTACGGTAACATAGCAAATGCGAATGACTAGTAATTTTGTTGCCGACAATAAAGTGTAAAAAGTTCATCAAACGTTCGGGCAAGCAGCAAGCACAAATACGAAATGGTAAGAAATCACCTCCAGAAAACCCTGAACCCATATACGATCGATAACCACATATTTGCAGGGACAAAACCAATCGGCCCAAGGGGGAGCTGGCGACAAGAAAGATGACAAGGATAAAAAGAAGAAGTACGAGCCTCCAATCCCGACGCGCGTTGGCAAGAAGAAGAGGCGCGCAAAGGGTCCGGATGCAGCCATGAAGCTGCCCCAGGTTACGCCCCACACCCGCTGCCGCCTTAAGCTGCTCAAGCTGGAGCGCATTAAGGACTACCTGATGATGGAGGACGAGTTCATCCGCAACCAGGAGCGCCTGAAACCCCAGGACGAGAAGAACGAGGAGGAGCGCTCCAAGGTCGACGACCTGCGCGGCACCCCCATGTCCGTGGGCAACCTGGAGGAGATAATCGACGACAACCACGCCATCGTGTCCACATCGGTGGGCTCCGAGCACTATGTCAGCATCCTGTCCTTTGTGGACAAGGATCAGCTGGAACCAGGCTGCTCAGTGCTGCTTAACCACAAAGTGCACGCTGTGGTCGGAGTTCTCAGCGACGACACCGATCCAATGGTCACGGTGATGAAACTAGAAAAGGCCCCGCAGGAGACTTACGCAGATATCGGTGGATTGGACACTCAGATCCAGGAGATCAAGGAGTCTGTCGAGCTGCCGCTGACCCATCCCGAGTACTACGAGGAGATGGGCATCAAGCCTCCCAAGGGCGTCATCCTATATGGGCCTCCTGGAACGGGCAAGACCCTGCTGGCCAAGGCTGTGGCCAACCAGACCTCGGCCACTTTCCTGCGAGTTGTGGGCTCAGAGTTGATCCAGAAGTACCTGGGAGACGGACCCAAGCTAGTGCGTGAGCTCTTCCGTGTGGCTGAGGAGCACGCTCCATCTATTGTGTTCATCGATGAAATCGATGCAGTGGGCACAAAGCGCTACGATTCAAATTCTGGTGGCGAGCGGGAGATTCAGCGTACCATGTTGGAGCTACTGAACCAGCTGGATGGTTTCGATTCACGCGGCGATGTCAAGGTTATCATGGCCACCAATCGTATCGAGACCCTGGACCCGGCGCTAATTCGTCCCGGTCGTATTGACCGCAAGATCGAGTTCCCGCTGCCCGATGAGAAGACCAAGCGCCGCATCTTTACCATCCACACATCGCGCATGACGCTGGCCGAGGATGTGAACCTCAGCGAACTGATCATGGCCAAGGATGATCTATCCGGCGCCGACATCAAGGCCATCTGCACAGAGGCCGGTTTGATGGCGCTGCGGGAGCGCCGCATGAAGGTGACCAACGAGGACTTCAAGAAATCAAAGGAGAGCGTCTTGTATCGGAAGAAGGAGGGCACGCCCGAGGGTCTTTATTTATAAGTCGCGCGAAGATATACTTTCAGTTAATTTTGATAATTCCCAAACACATGCATTAAACCACATTAACACTAGAATCGCTTCCCGATGTGAATAAATTCGTAGTTGCCGGGAGTTGCTGTGCGAGTTTTCCCAGGAGGTCGTCCACATAGGTCCTTTGTTTTTCGGATATCACGTTGAGTGGAGCGCCCTGATGCTCCAAGTATTTGAAGTGTGCTTTATCTGTTGCATCTGACAGCTTGAGTTTTTGGTAGGCCTCTTGTTCTGCATTCCATTCTAAACGTTCTGCTCCCGCACTTTTAATGGTTTCGTAGAAGGCACTTAGTTTGGCCAGTTCAAACCCGGTTTTGAAGCCATTTTCAAAGCCTTCATCGAAGCTGTCTTGGAAGACCTTTTCCCTGCCATCGGCAACGCCATCTGCATAGCTGATCTTGAAAGGGAAAGGGTATTTCTGAGTCGTATTTTCCCGAAAATGAAAGCCAGCTGATTTTATCATGAAAGCTGGCCACGCCAAATTCATTTTAAACTCACCTTTGCCACTTTTTCCTGCACACGATGATAATTTGTAGCGCTGATGTCTTTAAACTCAGTTTCATCGTCCGAATCCCCAAGTGCCGACATTATTTTGATCCAGAATATTAAATCAGGCAGAAGTAAAGATTTAATAACAAACAAAACGAGTGTTTCCTATAACAGGTGTGACCGGGTTTTATATGCCAAATATTACCATTTCATAAACAAAACTACGGAAAATCTTTACAGAATCTTATAGTCATTTATAAAAACATTGCGTTTAAAAAGAAAATAAGTTTTTAAGTGCTGGATTTGGATATAATACATTTTTAAACCCCATCCCGTCTCAGCAATTCAAATTTCGCGCCACTAAGAGCCTAATAATTTGCAGCACTGACTATTTTAAATTTGAAAATTTTCGGTTATAGTCAGCTCAGGGCATTCAGTCGAAACTTGGAAATAGCACGCACAATGGTTGTGGGCGTCTTTCCACTAGGAAAACTAGCTTTACTTGCCATTAAGCACATTAGCAAGCCCATTGGCAATCTTATCAAGCAAACGGCCAAAAAGAATCAGTCATTCAAAGCCCTGGTAGTTGCTCCCCCAGCGAGATGTAAGTAAAATGCGTGGAATGCCGACTAATATTAATATAACCATTATAATGTTCAGTATACCACGTAATTGATGTTCGCTCCAAGATGTGGATGCTGGGACTTGGACAACCCCGTCTTATTCCGCCCCTAACTGACGCGATGACTATTCAAATGGGTAGCGAAATCCTGGGCGAAATGATCATCTTCATTATTGGCGCCACGCTGATTGTGGGGGAGTTCAAAAGGTTTGCAAGCCTCGATTATCCACAAAGAATCTGTTTATTTTCAAATACGTTTTTAGGCAAGCCAAGAACGACAGGTTGAAGCACGAAAAACACAGATTAAATCGGGAGAAGCTGGAGGAAAGAATTGGGGACCTCACCAACAAGGTCAGCCGCCAGTCCAAGGAAATCCATCAGCTGAGGACCAAGTTGGGGAGCAGGGAAACCCATAAGGCAGATAGCAATACGGGGGACTTGGAATGTAACTGAACTGGCGTGGAAATGTCAGTCGCCTTTATATTCGTGAAAAATTTTATGTTAGGCACAATGGTGATCGGCAGTTTTCCAATTGGAAAACTATTCATTCATGGCGTGAAACGGATTAGCAAGCCATTTGGAGACCTTCTAATATGGATGGGCAAGCATCATCCCTTCATCCGGCGCTATGTCATCATTCCGCCGGCCCAGCTTTACAACACCTTTGAGGTCCGTACCAAGCTCCATATGCTTCGATTGAAACAGCCCAGGCGGATTCCACGCCTCTCCACTCCGATCGCCACAAGATTGGGCGCTGATATGCTGAGCGAGGCCTTTGTGTTTGGCATTGGCATAGGTCTCATATACTATGAGGTTTCAAAGTGCGAACTAGTTGAAATGTTTTAAACAATTTTTGTTTCTATAAAGTGATTTGTTTTTTATAGAACATATGAAAAAACTCTGAAACAAAACCAGGAGATTGACGATCAGAAGAGAGCTCTAGATGAGTGCGTGGACTGTATCAGTGCGGATGTGGAGCGGAACCAAAGGGACATCAATTGGATTAGGACAGCCCTGAAAAACGTGGGGAAATAAGGATTTCTTTTTGTATAATTTTATATCGACTGTCGAGATCGCTTTCAAATCGGTGACGATTATTCAATTATGTAATTAAATAAATACAAAGGTAGTTGCCAAGTTCGTTTTATCGAGAGTGCCCTGTTACTTACGGTTAAATGAGTAGATTCGAATTGTCATCACTAAGAGATGGCCTATCGTGCATCACTGCGCACACCGCTTCCTCGTACACATCTCTAATTTTGCAGGAATATTTTGTAATAGTTATTAGTAAGAAGGTAAAACTATGGTTATTGGCGTCTTCCCGGCGGCCAAGCTCGGCATCTTGGCCATCAAGCAAGTCAGCAAGCCGATAGCCAACGTGATCAAGTCCAATGCCAAGTCGAGCCCCTTCTTCAGGAAATACATTTGCATGCCGCCCGCGCAGTGTAAGTGGTGCGATTTGATTACATGAGATTACGGGCTTTAATCCCACATTTTCAGTCTACAACTGGGTGGAGGTGAAGACCAAAATGTGGGCCCTGAACATGGGTGGTCGCGTTAATGTTCCTCCGCTGAACGAGGCAATGGCCATTGAACTGGGAGCCAATCTGCTGGGCGAGTTCATCATATTCTCCATCGGAGCCGGTCTTCTGATTTTCGAGTACTCACGGTAGGTAAATAGGGCTCCCTAGTCGTTTCAGAGCTATATTCATCCACCCATCTTTCAGTCAAACCATCAAGGAGAACAAGAAAAACGAGATGGCGCAATCGGAAAAAATGGCACTGACCAACATGCTGACGGAGATGAACTTTCGGCTGGAGCGACAAGATGCCCAGATACGGGAAATGACCCGAGTGCTGGCTGATCTAGGTTCCATTACCGCCCAATCGAAAAAGAGTATAACGTAATCATATACCAAATCCTTGCAGATTCGCGAAACATTTTCCAGTGGCACAAAGAGCCCATTCAGGAATACGTGCCCTTCGATCCCGACACGCCGGACCAGAGCGCCAGCGCCAGAAATCCGAAAAAGTTCGACAGCTTATATGACCCACAAGGCGGTATGGCCTTCCGAGCCCTGCACTTCCTGGACACGCAGATCTTCGTGGACGGACGCAACCGCAAGGCCAAGGAGGCTCTCAAACACCTGGATGAGGTGGCCGTGCAGCTGGAGCAGTCCTTGGGAGAGGCTGCCACCGTTGCCGCCGCCAGTTCACTGCCCACGAAAACAGCAGAGCTTTGACCCAATCGGCAGCTGGAGCAGGATCTGGCCCTGCTCATGATGGCAGTGGCGATGGAGGAACAGTGAGGCTGCCCGCTTGTACACATTCAACCTGCAGACCATTTCATCAGTGCTAGTTATGATCAAATCGCGTGTTACCATTTCTTACTTTAAGTATAAAAGTCAATAGTATTCGATAACTATTTGACGTTTGTAGTTATATTTATTAATTTTTATTGTTACCGCAGACAAACAACTAAAGAGATGCAAAACAGTGTACAAGATGAGTGTATAAAGTGATGGATGGGTTTACTCCTGGCAGACTAGGTCCTGGAGCTGTCGCAGTTCCTCTCCAGGCGGCAGAAGATCGCCCAGATAATCGCAAAACGAGTTACAGATGGCATACAGACTGCGGCGCACTCCACATCGAAGCACGTTGAAACTGGAGCTGGGCGCTCTAATGTTGCCTATCACGCTGCTTAGCTTGTCCAGTTCATTGCGCAGCTTGTTGATCGCTTTGATGATAGCCGGCAAATCGCTCTGCACCACTCCATATGGATCCTCTTTGAGCGAGGCAGCGCAAACCTGAGCCAGAGCCTGCGTCAAATACACAACAGGCAGGGAGTTGGCCAGCAGAAACGTTGTCTTGGAACCTTCGGGTTCCTTGAAGAAGTACACAATGCCGGGAACTCGCTGTAGCAACCGTTGTAGGGACTGCTCCAACTGCCTGGATACGCGCTCACACCAGTTAGGAACATGTCGGATGCCATCCGCTGGACGATCGAACGCATCCTCACGCGTGGGCGACACAATTGGTCGGATGCCGTGGATCTGATTGTATTGCCGCAGCAACACCTTCTCGGCCATCAAGCTAGCAGTAAGCGATTCGGTTATCTTCGGCATTGGCAGACTCTGGGCGCCTTTGAGTACACTTATCTTCTGCATGGACTCGGTTAGTTCTTCGGTAAAGCTGCCGAGAATACTCAAGCACTGGTCACAGAGAGAGCGCCAGTTTGCTGGCCGGTTGCCCGGCTCGGTCAGCTGAAATATCTCTGCCCGTTGTGCCGAATTCTTTCGCAACGCCAGCTTGTAGAAAAAATGGGCAGCAAGGCACTGCACCACATACACATTGAAGACTCCCAGTCCTGCTACCAAAGTTATATCTTGTTCATGGGCAAACGCAGCTCGCGGTTTACTTACTACCAGGGGCAAATCCTCCGAGAGCAGAATACCGTAGAAGCAACGCATGAGGTGCATGTTACTCAGAATCTGGGCGGTCAGCATATAGCCGTAGAAAATAAGGCGCACATTGGTGGCTACTCCGAAGAATCCTTCCAGTCGCTCGTCCATGTCCACAGAGAGAATGTGACTAAGTTTGTGGCATATCATGGGTCCGAAGAGCCAAAAGACGGCGGTGTAGCTGAGTGTGGGCAGCAGTGATCTTACTAGAGATTTGGCCAAACTGCCGTAAAGTAGTTCGCGCATCTTCTCCGCCCGCGACTGATCAACGATGGGGAATTCAATTGAGATCTCCTGGCGCATGTGAACAGAGACAAAGTGGTAGCAGCCGGCGGTCATGCCGATGCCCAGTAGATAGACATGGTATGCACTAATGCAATCCTGGCCATAGCACTTGTATCTCAGATGTCTTGGGACAAAAGGAAACGTAAGTATTTACCGAATTCACCCCACTCTAGGTATACTTACTGATAGTCTGTGTGCAGATAGCCCGTGTACAGCCAGGCGGTCAGCAGACCCACCATAAGATGGGCGCCCAGAAAGAGTAACTTGCGTGGGCCGTAATGCAGGAGCCAGCGAAACCGGGTTGGGCAGTAGGGCCGCTCCGACAGGTGCTGCTGGCACAGGACCACTCCGTAGAACACTACGGATGCTACCAGCGGGATGCTGGCAAACCAGGTGTACCAACTGGCTACCAGACGCAGTGTTCCCGTCACCCAGGCGAGTGGATGCAACAGTTGGAAGTTCACAAACAGCAGGAACACGGTGAGCAGCAGGAATTGGATGGCCACGCTGAGGAGCACGGCGCGCAGGCAGCGGCCGAGCAGCAAGAGCTTGCAAGCGTTGCTGGAGGAGCTGGCAGACATGTTTCCGATCCGAACTGCTAGACCATCGAGGTATCCCCAATAATTTGTTTTAATTATATTATTTTATAATTGATTTCACGAGTTATTGCAAATATTCGACGGTTGCCGGCAACGCGCGCGTTGTTGCACTTTTCAGTGTGACCGTGCGCAGAAGCTGGAGCTCTCTGTAATCGAAAACTGTATTGATGTTAGTAGTGAGTAGCCCTAATGAAAAACGGTTTTTTGAAAAACATATTTTGTAAATCTTGCAAGTTTACTATTAAAGCTTATGAAAAGAGCGTATATGAAAAAATCAATATATCTTTAATTTTCGACTTAATTTAACCATCAGTTCTTCTTATGCTTCGGTCTCACATAGCAATGGAAATAAAAGTTGGCGAACATGATGAACATGATCGCCGCGGAGCAGCTGACCACAAAGAGGGTTCCCTGCGAGGCCGTGCACTGCCGCTGCATGGCGGTGAAGGCGCAGTGGCCAAACATGAGGAGGAACTGCAGCATTTGCATGAGGGTCAAGCACCGCTTCCAACGCACCGTATTGCCCTCGATTGCCGCATAGTAGTAGGCATACATGAAAATATGAACGATTACGTTGAATGAGCACAGGAAGAAGAGCTGACCCCCGTAGCCATAGAATCGTATTATCAAGTATCCGGCGGAGGGCATTAGGACGTGATGGAAAACGTGCAGGAACGTTATTTGCGAGTACTTCTTCCGTAGCACGCAGAACACGGTGTCCAGTAGGTCAACGATCTTGTTTATGTAGTAGGCATAGCTGATGCAGCGCTCCCAGTTCTTCAGCGGATGATCCTGCTGCAGGACGGTCATGCAGCGAAAGTTGTACGGTTGGAATGCCAACATGAAGTAGTATCCCTGAGGGAGAAGGTTTCCTCAATTGGAAATATGTCCCTATATATGCTGGGAATTCTGGACTCACGGGCAGGAGCATCATTATATTGTAGCAGATCTGGAACATGTTATAGTACTTGAGCACTCCTCGGAGATTATAAGGTTCACGATGCTCCATAAACTTTCTGCCGGCCTTAAAAACTACCAGAAGGTAACAGGTGAGGATAATTATGATGGGACCTGGTCCAGTGGCCAACGGCAGTTGCTTGGAGTCCGCATAGGGCGTCCTGAATATTTCCAACATATCTGATATTTATTTTCTACTATTCAATTTAACAAATAAAACTTTTGAGCCGCCTTGCTTTTACATATCTTTTCAAATGACTTAAAAAACACAAATATTTGGAAAATCGCATAATTTTAGTTGCTTGGGTGTAAGCTTTTTGAATGAGTATGTTTCCTAAGCAAGGGAGATTGCTTTTTATGTAATTCAAACTTAAATAAATTTAAGCTTAAACTGCGTAATTGCCACATATTTTTTGCACATGCTTGCCATACTGTTGGCGGGCCGATAAGTACGCTATCGATTGTTGCATAAATGACATACTCTGGCATCATAGGGCTATCGATTACCCATGGTCGTAGCTCTGGCATTTTGCAACTGTCCGTCTTCGGTCACATCACATTTTGTTGTTGTCGCGGTCGGAAAAGTGCACGGAGTTACGGTCGTCGATTCGTCGATTTTCCGTTAAATACAGCATACAAATTCCAAAACAAATGCGCGCACTCGCCGCCGTCGAAAACGCAGGGTTATAAGGTGTGTAATGTGTCCAATTGGCCGCAATGGAAAGTGAATAAAGGCCCTATAATTCGTGAAGTTGAAATCAAAAAAAATAAAATATAAAAATTTTCTTGTGCGCGTTTGCCAATGAGAGTGAGAGAGCAGGGCAGAAAGAGAGAATGAGCGAGCGAGCGAGAGCGAGCCATAATATTGCGTGAATCGAATCGAGCGACACAAAATTGTTGTAATTAATTCATATTTAATTGGCATTTGGCGTAATCCGAGTCTGTGCATAATAAAGCCCAATGCGAAGTGCACTCGTCAGTTGGCAGTCGTGTGTTTGTTGTGTGTCTTTTGTAGCGTAATGCGTATTGAGGTCACTTTGTACATATTATAGCAGCAGTAAACCGCAGCATAGGCACGCGTATCGTACATGTGCATGTGTGTGTGTGTGCGATTGCCCAATACCCATACTAGTGCATCGAGATAGCCACCAATGTTCGTTTTCATCCCACTGCCCAAGGCGAACAGCTGCTCTCCCCCTCCCGATCCACCCCCCTCCTCCTGCCCCCGAGGCTCTGCTCTCGTGTTGTTTGCGTTGTCGCTGATCGCCGGAGCAGAACCACAGGGCAGGTGGTGGCTATTGCCCACTGTGTCGTATTGTCCACCGCGCACAGGCACAGGCAAAGAAACAAACAAACAAACGAACGGGCACGCATTAATTATACTACTTAAAATATGGTCTGCAAATTGTGCTAAGCTTAACAACGCAGCGGAGAGTGAACGAGTGAGACAGATAGAGAGGGAAAGGGAGATGGAGGTGGTGTGGGTGATGGCTCCCCTCGCGCGCTCTCTCCTCGCGCTCACTGCTTTTGCTTTTGGTGTCTTCACTTCATGCTCCATTCACCTACTTTTACGCGCTCTGCGCTCTCTGCTCTCCACTTTTCACTCGATTCGCCACTGCTGCTGACGTTCGTTTTCTGAATTCCAAATGAAGTCATGAGCAGATTGTACACCAAAAGAAATAACCAAAACAAACACTATTAACCGTTTAATGGTTAATGCTTGTAACCTTTTTATGACCGTAGCATCACGTCTCCTTGATAAAGAGCACATTCGTGTAGTCACATTTTATGCCACGTAAATTAATTAAAATAATACGAATATGTACTAAAATTTAAACATACCCATGTTTTTCTACCCGTGTAGAAACAACACAATACGCAGCTAAACGCAAACGTCGTTGTCGCATTATTACAGCTAAAAAAAGAAGCAGAGTGGCATACAAAATAATATCATTGCAAAAAAAAGTGAAATTAAGTGTTTTAAAAAAAAAGAAGGAAAAGAAACCATAAAAAAACATGAACATGACATGGCCGCGTCTCGTTTACACAATAACTCAAAATTAATTTAATATGCTGGCAAATGAGCAAAGCGAAAAGCAAGCTAAAAGGTGAGCGAATAGCAGAATAAGGGGCACAAACTTAACAACGCATAAATAACAAAAGGTGCGGCCTACGATTTGTCGTTTATACGATCGTCCAGTTAGCAGTATCTATTTAAGTGCGACTTTGGGTTTACAACCTTGTGGTTTTCGCCTTTCCTGCCGCGTTGCCTGTGCGTGAGGTGGCGGATAAACCAGATTTAGGCCACTTCCATGTTCATTACACGCGCAGCGCATAAACCCTGATTGGGCCCTCAAATCAGCTACTTTGTAAGTGGTGGTCAACTTGTGGAGCAAAACAAAGGCCGCCACTCAACGCAACGCAATTCGATTCGATTAAAGTCCGGGGCCCATGAGTCAACCGAAAACGCAGAGACAAAGACAAGAAGACCTCCACTGAAAATAACAATAGGTTAATTGATTGTATGCGTAGTTATAATTACGATATTCATGCTATCTGAAAATGTCTTTCATTCTAATATATTCATCATCATGTCAAAAGGGAATGGATTTATCAAATATTAAAAGGGTTCGCTATACAATTGAAACCAAAGCTTCAATTAATGCCTTTACTTGAATATGAATAGACTTCAATATAGACGATTATTCTCTGAATCCATATATGTATTCTTGGCTGTGACTAATACGGGAATTCCCTTGAATTCTTTGCAGGCTCTGAATCGCGAAGGAGCTCCTGAACGGCTGCTGTTATCGCCATGGCCGCCGCATCTGCTGGCCAGCAACAGCAGCAGCATCAGCACCAGCACAAACTTAACATAGCTGGGAGTGCTGAGACGGAGGTCAGCGGGATGCACCATCCGCAGCAGCATCACCAGCAGCAGCAGCAGCATCAGCATCAACAGATCAATATGTTCAAGCAGCAGCAGCAGCAAATGTTGCCTCTGCAGCAGCAACATCATCAGTTTTTCCAGCAGCAACAGACGAAATTTGTATCGCGGGTCGTTACAAGTGCAGCGGTGCAACAGCAGCAACAGCAGCAGCAACAGCAACAGATATTACCAGCTGGCTTGGTAAACGGCAATGGCAGCGGCAACATGATGCAAGTGGCAAATCTGCATCTGCAGCAGCAGCAGCAACAGCAGCGAAACAGTCAGCAGCACATATTTGTCTGCCCCACCAGCAACCATCAACTCCTTCTGCAACAGCAGCAGCAACAACATCAGCAGCAGCAGCAACAACAGCAACAAACCAAACAGCGCCAGGCGCAAATAAAGTTGCCAATAAAGTCAGCGGCAACAACGGGAGCAACGGCAGCAACTGTTGCTGCTGCAACTGCTGCTACTGGGGCAACGCATTGCATGTCGACAACAAATGCGGCGCGTCAAATGAGTCAGAACAATCAGCTCTATGCCAAGAATGTTGCCAAAGCCAACAATGCCAGTAGCAATGGCCACATCAACAGGAAGACGGCCACTAGCTACAATGGAAATTTGGCCCCCGGCTGGCGTCGCTTGACCAACAACAATGAGGTGGCCTATATCAGGTGAGTAGTCAGTCGGGTAGTATCTGGGCACATCTGTGGCCACAGGATATCTGCCGGTGGAACGCTCTTCGGCGGGGGCAAGCTTGGGGGTTGGCTACATCGCTGGGCTGTGTTGTACGGACATGACATTTACAGCACGTTTGGCTGCCCGGGCTAAAAGTCAATCTGGTTATTGTCTGGCGAACGCAACGCATTCGAGAAGCCATAAAAATGTTCAGCGATCCCCCCTCGCGCTACAGGAAATGCCGCTGTCCATGGGGGTTACAGGGGCTTACAGTCGTCCGAAGGGGCGGTGGGGCATGTTATTTAGTGGGCGTCTGGTGGGGGGTTGCAGTAGTCGTGTCAGAAATGTTTTTGCAACCAGGCACAACAGCACAACATCAACAACTAGCAACCATCAACGACTCGGTGGTAAATATTTACCTGGCATTATCTGCGAGTTATCATCAAGCACACATAATTACAAACGCAAATAAAATGTTTGCTCAGATATGCTGAAAAGCATCGAGTATGTGGATATATCTGCTTGCCCGGGTACTTGTAATTGTTCTGGCTGTCCAATCGCCCCCAAGGGCCAAAAAACGGGGGGCCCCGTCTCAGTATATCAGTATTTCTTCTTGTTTTCTGTGTTTTTTTTTTGGGCCCTGTGCAAACTGTTTGCGAGTTTGTGGCTGTTGCCGATGTTGGGTAATTGTTGATTTTATAAGTGGCTGGCACTTCTGAGCGCTTGACTCGGCTCGTTGGGATAGTTTCCCTCGCAGCTGTTGCCCGGGGCTCATTTGCCCAGAAAGGGTTGCCTGGTTGCCTGGTTCTCTGGTTCCCTGGCTGGCTGGCTGGCTGGCTGGTTGAATGGCTCTGTGGCTCTGGGATAACTGCTTTTCGAACCACTTGTACGGATTATGGTTGCGATTGCGAATGCCGAATGCCCCGCTCAATTGGCAGATTGAAAGCTACCAGGGGGCATGTTGTTTGTTTTACGAGACCCGAGCTGAGATTCTCATTATGACAGCCATGATTATGATTATTGGGCCTTGGCACTCGACTCACGTAGCTTTTGGGGCGTCAAGAAGTTGCAGCTTATCCGACGCACTCCATTTACTGGCAATGTCACATTTCACTCAGCCGACCAGCCAGTCAGTCACTCTCTGGGCCATTACCCTTCCAGGACACGCTTTGAGGGCACCGCTGGCTGCCACGTTCACGTCCTCGCCATCGTCCTTTGCCCGCTGGTATTTACTTGTGCCCGGCGACGACACGACATCGTGTGTCAAGCGCTGTCATTGTCCACCACCAGCAGAAGCAACTACACCAACTACAGCAGGAGCAGCAGCTGCTGCTCATTTCCACGTTGCGTGTTGCTGGTTGCTATTTGCTGTTTGCCCAAGCGGATGGATGGATGGTCGCCATGGCCCCCTTTGCAAATTTTCGAGTTGAGCATTCTTTTTCGTGTTTCCCTAAGCCAGTTAAACCGTCGCTTTGCCAGCGGTGTTTTCTGAATTTCGGGTGACAAAACTTGCTGAAGCTAGCAAAAAATATGTGCTCCGTAAGTAGCTGCAAAAAAAGGGGTGAAGCTAGAGTACTTACTCCTTTTATTGTAGTAAACCGGTCACACACATTTGGCAGTACATATAAACTAATCAAACAAAGGCAAATTCACTCTGAAAGGCTCGAATTATAATGATAAATATACCATTTCCTATATATTTCTAAACTCCCAGTTGGCGAAACCAGCACCGCTGGCTCCATGAATACCTCTTTTTGTTTAGCTTCCGTCTGTGGCGCGAGTAGTTTGCTGGCGGCCTTCGTTTTGGCTGTTTCTCGGAAAGAATGTTGCACAAATTGTGTACCAAATCAATAATTGTTGCGCAAGCCTTTAAATCTGCTGCTCTTGTTGTTTGCACAAGTGCTAAATGGCTTTTGGCGCAACGTGACATCGGCGGAGTGCAAATTTAAGACTGTGACCGGGTCAGATTCAAACGATGTCGTAGTCGCAGTCGCAGTCGCATTCGCAGTCCCAATTCAAGTTGAAGTGGAAGGCAGGACGCCCACTGTGCGGCAACGGGCGCATAAATCATAAATCCAAAACGGCAGCTGGAGATCCAGCCAGCGATCGAATCGAATCGAATGGAAAAGAGGCAAGGGAAAACAGTTCGAAGCGCCCCGCCAGCCTGAATAACTGCCAAAGAATGCGGAATAGTTTTTGGCCAGCGCGATTCAAGCAGTTTTCAATTTTCCTGTCCCTATCCATGTACATACATCGGTGTGTATGTGCACCCTGCCGCCACGAGGCCTGCTCTTCATTCCCCCCTGCCTCGGGCTGAACCTTTCAGCGGCCGCGTAGGTTGCATCAGCAGTTGGTCCCTCCTCACTGTTTGTCTAGGCCAGGCCAACTGCGCGCTCCGCTCCATTGTCAGTTAGCCAGAGTCAGGCAGAAAGGCAGCCAGGCAGTCATTCAGCCAGAGTGGCAGACAGATAACGAGACGGACAGACCTTTGAAATGTGTTTATTTTACTCACATTTAGGCATTTGTTGCGAATCCGCCAGCTTAGCTCTGTCCTCTCCGACTTGTTGACTTTGGTCAACGCCCACCATGCGAATTTGTCGTTGGTGATATCGTGGGAAAACCCCGGAAAGTTTCGCTTCAACAGCCACTTTTGACTCATGGGAGTTGGTCACTAATGGCGGGGCAAAGTTTCGCATTAAACGGAGGATATAATTTGGCTGGATAACAGTTTATTTATAAGTAATGTATAACATTATGGCATCTTTCGTAATTTAAACGAATTCATCTTACAGTTGACAACTTAATTTATGAAGTCTTTAGTGAATTGATTTTAAACGTTTAATAAAGCATATCAAATAAGTTGCCTTGCTATAAAGTGCTGTAATATATATATATGTATATATATAAGGGACCTTTGGGATGATATTTTTTCTGCGTGGGCATGATTCACTTTGTTTCGTGGGCTGTGGGCTGTTGGATGTTCGCTGCTCGCTTTCTTTGCGCGTTGTCAAGGACATGAAGGCACAAGGACAGCGGATAAAGTCCTGCCCTGCCCGGCCCTGCCTGTCCGTCCATCAGTCCCTCGACTGCGGAGTTCCCTCCTCGGGCATTGGACTCCGTCTGGCTGGCTTTGTGCGATAATTTTTTACAGTTTCATGCGCCACGGCGTAGCTGGCCCACAGCCTTTGGGCCACGTTGCTGTTAGTGTTGGTGTTGTTTGCGCTGTTTGGGATTATTAATTTAGTAATAGGCTCAGTCTCTGCTGGAGGCCAACACCCAGTCCAACGCCCAATCCCAATCCCATTTGCAGTCTCAGCTGTCTGCACTCTCAACTCTTTTTTTCTGGGCTCGAGGGTGCACTCAAGGTCACAGGGGCGTAAAGCTTTTTCACCTTTTCTCACACACAGAGCTATGAGGTTTAAAAGACGATGGCTGATGGCTTCATGGTTTCCAGCGGATGGATGGCTGATGGGCGATGGCCACTCGACAGCAAACTCTTTGGCACTTGGCGTTTTGTGTGTATAATTTATTAAATTATTTTAACTCGTTAGCCGAACGCCTTTCATGTGGCCACAACGCGGCAAATCCACCCTAAACTGGCGCAAATTGTTGGCAGGGTGGGGGCGGGGAGCTCCTGCTGCACCACTCACGTTATTAGCGCATTTTGTGCAAATACCACACAAAAACCAGTACGAGGTAAAAAACAAATTTAATGAGTCGCCGACTTCTTCGTCGTCTGTCACAGAGAGAATAAAATCGGAACTTTATTACTCGCGGCCTTTCAAATCGATTTCAAGTGTACGCTAATGATAGCTGCATTGAGAAAATCGATTTGTTGAATCTATAAAATAAGGTTTAAAATAATGGCACTTTTAAGCTGAAATAACGCTTTTGGGTAGATATTATGGAGGTAGATATTATGTTAACTTATGATAATATCATGTTTAAAGTGGAGTACATAGTACTGAGTTACTGAATTTCCCTTCGTTTTGAGTTCACTAAAACAATGCCACTTCCCACAATGCTGACGGCATTAATTGGGCTTAATGGGATTGTAATCATGTGTGCTGCAACTATCTGTTTTTAACTGCCCTCTGCTCTGAATCGTATTAATTTCTCCGCGTGCACGATTCCTGCTGCGTGCCTGCCCTGCTGCCACAACTGCCTCAAAGGCGATTGTAAGTGGCAAGCGGTGGGCTCTTAAGCTCCTTGCCACGCCAGCTGCATACAAATTGAGCCATAAGCTTTTGGCGTTGATGATTCCCTATCCCTGTCTCGTTCCCAGTGTCCTTCGTGATGTCTGGCAATCGACTTGCCATCGATTTTTCCAATCTCGAACGTGGCTCAGTTGCTCATAAAGCTCTGGCCCTCGTAAGTAGTTAAAAATAATTAATAAAACAAACCAGAACCAGTTTCCTTTTCCTTTTCCCATTTTTTTTTTTTGCTTTTCTCCATTGATGATGATGCTGATGACGCTGCGACTTGCAACTGGGAACTGGGAACTGGGACTTGGTTGAAATGCGATGAGATGGGATGAGATGCGGAGGCATCTCCTGTTTGGCCAGCTAAAAGGGCTACTCAATTGACAATTCGCATACTCGTTTAACCCGTAACACGATTCTCGATGCTGTTGCTGTTGTATGTTGCTGTCGCTCAATTATATTGTTGTCCCTGCTGTTCTGCTCCTCCAGCTACCATCTCCCAGCTCCCCGAACTCCGTACTCCGCACTCCGAACTCGGAGCTAACAGCTCACAGCTCCTGTTGCTGTCGTCGTCGTTTCATTTAATGCCCTTGCCGCTTTCACACTTCATGCATTATTCAGATTTCCCATACGGCTTGGAACAGCAACACGCTGAGAAAAATGTTCTCTTATATATGATGTATTTAGTGTTGTGAGCATAGTGAGATTGTCAAATCTTTTCATCACTTTAATTTGTTTTGGAGAACCCTTTTCATACATATATCCGTGCTAGATTTGATCATAGTACGTCCTTATTGTCAATATATTTCTCTCCGTGTTGACCTGCACAGTACTTCAGGGTCAGAGGAAGTGCGGAGCTGCGGCGAACTTGAGCCCTGGCATCAGTCCTCCGAGTTCGAGTGCCTCAGATTCAGATTCTGAATCAGATTCAGATTCAGTTCCAGCTACCGCTTTCCTTGGACGGCGTCATCATGAGCGCCCTTGATTCCTTCAACGTGCTCACACTTTACAATTAATAAGCAGCTACGTTTCCTTCCCCCTCCGGATTTTGCGTTCTTTATTTTGCGTACGGTACGAGTTATGTACGAGTGTGTGCTGTTTTTATACACACACTTAAATCGAAGTAACCCCCAGCTCATGCGACAGCACATTTATGTCGGCAGATTTGCGGTCATGCGTGGCCTGATTGGTGGGAGGGGGCGACGGTGAGCGGGTTTTTTGAAAGGGTTAACTTGTGTTGCGAAGGGAAAACCGCCCATAGCAATCGCAATCCGCAAAAGGGGCTTGGCATTATTAAAACTGGATTCACCGCGTCTCATTCTTTCCTCTTTTTAGGCATTAAATGACCGAAATTTAAATCAATTTTTTGCCTTCTCATAATTTTATGGCGCATAGGCGCGTTTTTTCGCTCGCTAAATATGTGCATATGTATGAGATCGCCTTTGTTCGATCTCGCAGATGTGGAGTTTCTGTTGCGCATTTTCTCAAGACAGCAATCACCCCGAGATTCCAGTCGCATATTCTGAACCTGAATCGGAAACCCTTCAGGAATGTCAACTGTATCAGTACGCAGTTACCCTGCAGAGGGTCGCAAATTGCTTTATAACGCAAATAACTATATAAACAGGTTTTCGCCACATATAGTACGATCGCTTACGATCGAAACTAATTTATGCGCAAATCACTTTACATTGTCATGCTAATGACCGCTTTGGCAACGAGCTGTTAATCAAGCACTCGACCATTATTCATTATCCATTTTCCATTATCCATTATCCATTGGCCTCTGTAGTCAGTCACTTAACTGCGGCTAATTGCCCCCGGGATATTGGGATAGTCGACCAAGTTCGCAGTGAGTGGGTGTTGGGTGTCTGGCTGCTCAAAAGCACTGGCCTTCGCTAATTGCATAATTTCCATAAAACAAATTGTGCGTTTAGCTGGTGAATAACGGCATGACTGCCGTCACTTAATTAATCACGCCCATCCACTAATGCATTTATCTCTTTAACCCCTTTCTTTTCTATCTTTTTCCAGCCCCTCGGGCAAAACGCTGCGCACGCAGTTCCAGATCAAGGACTATCTGCTCACACAGGGTACCTGCAAGTGCGGCCTGCCGTGTCCGCTGCGCCCGGAATTCCTATTCGACTTTAATGCCCAGGTAAGTCAAGTGCGGCAAACTGAAGTAGGTGGTAATCGTGCTGGCTAATAACCATAAGGCCCAAGTAGGCAGAAAATAGGTAGTGCCCTTCGAACAAGATCCATTGAAGATACATTTTGAGATAGCAGACTTTAAAGTTGGACTTTAAAGCTACAACCTCTTTAGAAATGCCATTTCTTTAACTCCATTGAATCTGTATCCTTTTCGTGCTCATAATTAGCAATCATGGGCCATATATTGGTTCTGAGTCTTCTGGGTTTCTGCTTCGCGTCACGCTGACATCGGCCAAACGGCGAGCTGGACTTGTTTGTCTCATAATTGGCTGTAAATACCGCGCCATGAATGAGCGCTGATCCAACGAACGGGGGAAGCCAACGCCATGTAGCTATGTATACTAGCCTATACTAAATCTAATTGAATGTGCTGCTAGCTGGCTGGCTGGCTGGGAATGGAGGGGCAGATTGGTGGGTTTTCGGCGCGGGAACGACGACTGACTGTCGACTTTCACTGAGCTTTACTCGACTGCAATGTAACTGGTGGCGGTGGTGCTGCTGCGCCCCCTTCTTATATGGCCTAACCTCCTCATCGCTGCGCTGGGGCTTCCAGATTAACGCAAAATATTTGTAAAACCAGTTTGACAACAAATCGACTGTGACGACGACGGCGACGGCGACGAGGATGGCAGCGATGGAAGCGATGGCAGCGACGTCGACTGCATAATCACGGAGCCAAGTGAGCCAACTGAAGCAACCGATTCTCCATGACCATCTGCCGCTTTTGCTCTGGAGCAGCTCCAATTTGTATATATCTATATATCTACCATCTATACGCTTTTCGGCCGCTTGCCGTGGCGGTGCATTGAAAATCGCAGTGAAATCGCCTGCAATGAGATTAATTTTCAACAGTAACAAAAAACTGTTAACGGTAAATCACGCCCAGAACTCAACTTCTTTTGGCCTTTTTTATTTCGTCTTGGTCTTGGTGCTGCTGTTGCCGTTGCCGTTGTTGTTGTTATTATTATTATATTTGGTGCGCTGCGGCAATGTTGTTCTTGCTGGTCTTATTGGCTTCTGTCTCGCCTTTCAGCATTTGTCCGTTGTCTCCGACTCGCCCCCATCCCCTCCTGATATTCGCAGGGCTCCCGCCTCCCCCTGCTGGGGTCATTAATTTGAGTTTATGGTTTCCCTTTGGTTTTTTGCGTGACGTTGATGCCGTCAAGCGCCAACGCCAACGCCCCACCAGCCGACCAACCAACCAACCCAACCCAACCGACCGACCGACCGAACTGGAGCCCCTTCTCCTCCAGCTTTGGCTATCCAGCATACCACCCGCGCACATTCAATGTCCTTTTAATATGCTCCAACAAACTTTTGAGCACTGCACGGTGGGAAAATGTGACCTGACTTTAAGGAATTCATCACAATGGATTTAATTTCAGCCAGCTAGCGTGATATATATATAAACTGGTGATCATGAAATGAAATAATTAGTTCCAACTTTACTAAATGAGCTGGCTTAGTTTGGAACAGTATGGAGTATTTGATTATAGGCCAACTATGGAATGTCATTCGTTTTAAAAGCTTTTTTCTTTGTTTGCTTGTAAATTTATGATTATGGGTCCCAAAAAAGCTTTTAGTGACCCATAAATTATAGGTGCGCAGAACGCTATTTATAAATCTGGTTCCACCTCAGACGAGAATGTGAAAAAGGCCTAATATTTATACGACAAACATTTCGGGGTGATTAATTATCATTGAATTGATGTGAGCAAAATGGCTGTTTGTTACTCATGTTGTTCTTTCATTTTTGAATTATTTTTAACTAAGTTTAGAAAAGCTTGCTCCACTTTTTACTAATTTCCGTATGAATAGCATTAACAATCATTAAACATTTCGATTGTTCAATTTAATCTCAGTGCACTCCACACGCATTTTAGGTTGAATGTCTGAACCCGCCAGCGTTGATTGTCGTCTTTTGTTGGTGCTGCTGCTGCTCCAGCTGCTCCGTCAATCGATATTTCGGTGCAATGCACTTATAACTTGGCTCATCCCAGCCACCCACCCACCCACTCCGCTCCATGTACACCCCCCACCCCCACGCCGGTGCCACGCCCACTTGGCTGTGCATCGTTGAACTCCCACCACAAAGAGCTCCTCACAGCTTCCATTTGAGTGCTAAGCTGAGCTGCGTATTATCAAAAGGCAACCGCAATTTGTTTACTAAACACTTCATTGTGCCACCGATAGTCCCCACTCTTTTGCTCTTTCCCTCCGGCTGCTGCCGTCCCTTTCTCTTGGCCATTCCCACATTTTCTGACCACAAGTCGATGGCTCTGTGTGTGTATATGCGTGTGAGAGTGTGTGTTGGCCATAACTTTTGGGCTTGGGGATATTCGTACATATATGGCGGTATATATCTAGAGGTAACTGTTTTGGATTTCTTCATTTGTGTGTCTTGTCTGCGACGCGTTTGGCGCATTCAACTCAGCCATCGCATTTCATTTTGGGCCATGATTGATGGCCCAGCATGATGAAGACTACGTTCGCTGATTTGTTTTGATTACGACCATTTTATGCTGTCGCCTTAACTGCCTTTCTTTCCCGATGTGAGATGTGTGCCGTGAGCTGTGTGCTGTGAGCTTTGAGGTGTGGTAGGTTAGGGATTTCTTTTCATTTCATGGCTTTTTGTTGGCCCCCCTTTCCATTTTGGCGCTCGGTGAAAGTCTTGGCCAGAGCTAGACAAAGCGGCTGTCAGTCATTGGAGTTGAATTGAACATGGCCATCACATCGCCTGGCAGGCGCAACTTGTCATGCGCTCGAGGTTGGGCCTGGCCTGCAAATTATGATGTCGTCTTGGTATATTCATGATTTCGAGGTGGATATTGGAGGGGCACACAGCGGCCGGACGGGGCAACCGACAAACTGTGAGTGTTTTAGTGGCTCCGATTGGAAAGTTGGAGCTGAAAAATAATGCCAAGTGGAGCAGAGAAGCTGTCGGCCGGCAGACAATTGCAGTTGCAGACATAACTAGTTTTGAGTGCCTCGACTAAGATTGCCCAAGACACACTGGAAAATAATATGACCAGCACCAGATTATGATCGAATTAACCAAAAAAGATGTGCTTTCAAACCAAAATGGTTTTATTAAACCTTTTTGCTCACTAGCTTTGGTCAGATATATTTTCTCAGTGCATTTTCACGTCTGTATAGTAAATAGTTAGCCAAATTCCAGACATCCGATAGCATCTAATGGCCCGAGCATGAGGAGGAAAAGAAATGCTTTCGAGGGTAGCAAATGCAATCCGATTAGGCCTGCCATACGCCACACTGATTGATGTATAATTTATGTACATAATGGGCTTGTAGACACCAACGCGGCGTGTACGTAATATGGATTGCGTATACGCCGTGTGGTTAATTAGACATACGCATCGAGTGAAATACATGGTAATTACAACGCATTTGGTATTCGGCTGCGGATCTTTAATTATGCCATATACAAAACCATGCACATATTTCTTCACAACCGCACAGTCCATGACTCAGATTTCGGTTTATGGCCTCTTAATGGGTGTCGGTGGGCGGGAAAATCCAGGGGGAGTGGGGCGAGGTCTGCTTTAGTATGACGCAGGCTTTGTTGTCCGTCGACTGAGCGGTTCTCTGCCAGTCAGCTGCAATTGTCGATAATTAAACAATTATTTACAATTGAAATTTTCAATTGCTAAGTGCAAATGAAAAACCGAAAACAAAGCAAAAGCGTTCGACCCGGTTCGTTTGGCCATTTTTCAATTTTTTGTCGATAAGTGCGAGACAATTGAAATTGATTTTCCACAAGGCGTCCCCAATGTATTTCCATTTCGAGTGCATTGCACGCAGCAAATTTTCGAGCAAGGGGACACAAGGGCAGGTCCCACAGGCAAGTTGGGCAAACAAATAAAACGTTGGACCCAGTTCGTATTCCATTCGCTCGCATGCAGCAAAAGGCGAAAAGCAAAAGCATAAAGCACAAGCACAAGCTAAAAGCAAAAGCAAAAGCAAATCAAAAGCTGAGGCTGAGGCTGAAAAGCAGCGCCAACAAGGCAAACAAACAAACTTGAGAAGGTCAGCGCCGAACGATGTCAGCAGCAACGTTGTTGCTTTATATTGTTGTTTAAATTTACAGCTTACAATAAAAATAAAGGCAATATTAATTGTTGTCGTTGCTGCTGCGGCTGTTGATGTTTACGATACACAAACACACGCATTCAGAATGTCAGAGGCGCATGCACAAAATATTCCATTCAGGGGTCACTTTAAAAATGTTGATTGACCTTTTTCGCGGCTGCCTCGCTTAAGTCAACACACGCTTTTGTAGTGAAAGGCAAAAAGCATATTTTAGTAACTGGAAATCAATAGCGAGCTATTCATCACTGCTTAAATCATTGACACGCTTAATTGGTAATTAAAACGTAAAAAATCCAACTTTGTATGTCTAGTTTGCACCAACTAACAAACTTGCCACTGATATCGCAAGTTAGTTTAATGGGTCGCAGTCTAAGCTGCATTTTAATTATTCCATAGATTACAATGTGTTGCAATCCCTTAAATGTTCACATACCCGCCCGAGCACGACTTCTGACTCGATTACGCCCAGCTGACTTGAACTGAATGTGCGTGAAGGTTGCCTGCTGCCAATCATCAGCAATCCGCGGCAGCTCCGGGCTGTACAGTATATATACACGATATGTGCTATATGCGCTATATGGTACTGTATGTGCTATAGGGTACTGTATGCCGTGGCGCGATGTCAGGGCCAGAAATCGAAAGTGAGCCGCGGACGACGGCGATGGCGGCGCATTGTTTGGGTGTCACTCATTCATTCAGGGCTATCCCCGAAGCCGGGGCATGTTCCTCCTCAAAACGCAGACCCCTCCAATGGGAGGAACGTTCACAGTTCTCGCCTGATTCTGACGCACACGAGAAGTGCAACCAAGCACGTCCGTCAGTCGGAGCAATCCACCT